GGATTCCACGTTGGTGAGAGTTTATATCCACTTTCCCGGTTGAAATTGTTGTGTTTTTTGATTTCAACCGCTTCACGAACAATCCTTGGATAGTAATGTCGTTCAGTGGAAAGGACATGAGGTGTATGTAACTCGATCCAGTGGTTTGATCCAGATGATAATAAGTGCTCTGCAATCGCGGACTTCTCCACTTGACGATTTTTGACCGCTGCTATGTGTTCTCTTACACGTTCGGCGATAGTCCGCTTCGTTTGTCCGATATATGAACTACCGCAGCTGCAGTCAATTTTATAAACGCCAGGTTTTTGGTAAGGAATACTATCCTTTGGTGATCGCAATTGGTGTGACATTTTTGATAAAGGAGTAAAAATGGTGTCTATAGAAAAAAATTTCCTCAAAATGGAACCGATTTTGTCCGTTACTCCCTTAACATAGCCTAAAAATGCCCGTTGCCTGGGAACCTTAGGTAGTCTTTCCTTACACCTTCGGATAGGGTATGACCTCCTTGCGCTGTATCCATTTTTCCTTAGCACGTCCTGTACATGGGACAACTCATCTGCTAAGAAGTCAGTATTACATAATGCGTTAGCCCTGTTAATAAGAGTTGTCTCCACAGAACGTAGGTGTTGAGGATGATGATGAGATGAAGCGTGGAGGTACTTGTCTGTGTGTGTTGGTTTCCTGTAGACAGTGTGTTTCAGGGACCCATCAGCTTGCGCCATGACTTTAACGTCCAGAAAGGGTAAGGTTTTGTCACTCTCTAACTCATAGGTGAACTTGAGATTCGGATGGATATTATTGACGTGTGTAAGGAACTGCTCAATCTCCGGTTTGTCGCCCTTCAGGATACAGAACACATCGTCTACATACCGTTTCCACATACGGATCCCATGTGACTGGTAATCTATCAATGACTCGACATGTTCCATCCATATATTGGCCAAAAGTGGCGCTACGGGGCTACCCATGGCGACACCATCAATTTGAAGGTAATGTTTGCCGCGATATAGAAGATAGCTGCCATCTAAACAGTTCCGTAATAGAACCATGTACCCTTCCGGTATATCGTTTTGTCTAAGTTTCATCCTAACAACCTCTAGACAGTCCTTAACTGGAACTTTGGTGAACAGCGACTCAACATCAAAACTCACCATTACGTCATCCGGATCCAGTTTTGTATCATCAAGGATCTGTACAAAATGACGCGAGTCCTTCACAAAAGATGTTGTAGTGCCCACAAGGGGTTGCAGTACGGAAGCAACGTGTTTTGCCAAATAATAAGTAGGTGAGTCAATCTGACTCACAATCGGTCTCAGTGGAACGCTGGCCTTATGCACTTTCGGCAATCCGTATAATTTTGGTGGTTGTACTATCTTCGGCTTGTATAGGTTCTCAAAGATGTCCTCGGTGAAAAGGTGTTTATAATCCCTGATAACAGCACGTATTCTCCTTGTAACTCTCGCAGTTGGATCGTACGATACCGGCTTATATATGTTATCATCTTGCAACAGAGCAAGTATTTTGGAGTCGTAATCGCTAGTATTTATCACGACGGTAGCATTGCCTTTGTCGGCCTTGAGAACGAGAAGGTCCTTATTAGTTCTCAAGTTTTTAAGAGCTCTACGCTCTTCGCTCGTGACGTTGCTCTTAGGTACTTTGGATTCACGTAACACGATAGCGACATCTTGCCTCAAAGCGTCGGCATCATCAGTTGGTACCTTATTACGAACTATTGTCTCCTCTATACTGCTGATGATATGTTCATACGGTATCCTCTTCGGGGTAGTAGCAAAATTCAGTCCCTTTGCTAAAACACTGCGAGTGGCACCGTTAAGTGTAGTATCAGATAAGTTGATGACGTCATCAACTGACTCCCCAGTGATTTGTCAGTTAGAGAGTGACAAAACCTTACCCTTTCTGGACGTTAAAGTCATGGCGCAAGCTGATGGGTCCCTGAAACACACTGTCTACAGGAAACCAACACACACAGACAAGTACCTCCACGCTTCATCTCATCATCATCCTCAACACCTACGTTCTGTGGAGACAACTCTTATTAACAGGGCTAACGCATTATGTAATACTGACTTCTTAGCAGATGAGTTGTCCCATGTACAGGACGTGCTAAGGAAAAATGGATACAGCGCAAGGAGGTCATACCCTATCCGAAGGTGTAAGGAAAGACTACCTAAGGTTCCCAGGCAACGGGCATTTTTAGGCTATGTTAAGGGAGTAACGGACAAAATCGGTTCCATTTTGAGGAAAAATTTTTCTATAGACACCATTTTTACTCCTTTATCAAAAATGTCACACCAATTGCGATCACCAAAGGATAGTATTCCTTACCAAAAACCTGGCGTTTATAAAATTGACTGCAGCTGCGGTAGTTCATATATCGGACAAACGAAGCGGACTATCGCCGAACGTGTAAGAGAACACATAGCAGCGGTCAAAAATCGTCAAGTGGAGAAGTCCGCGATTGCAGAGCACTTATTATCATCTGGATCAAACCACTGGATCGAGTTACATACACCTCATGTCCTTTCCACTGAACGACATTACTATCCAAGGATTGTTCGTGAAGCGGTTGAAATCAAAAAACACAACAATTTCAACCGGGAAAGTGGATATAAACTCTCACCAACGTGGAATCCGGTTATAAAAATGTATAAGTGTCGCGATCGCAAACAACCACGAACAGTATTCTCGGATACCGTAAGTGCAGTGTGTCGCCACCTTTACGTATAATAAAATCAAGTGGAGGGTACATCTGAAAATCAGTTAAAAACATTATTACCGGATTACCCTCAACTAAAATCAGAAGACGACACCCGCCAGTTCTCCAGTCTCCTCGTGACCACGGCTGCTGTAACGTAGCCGAAACGTCGAGGTAAATTAATTGTTTTAAAAAATGCACGAACAAGACCCGATTGCATATAATTATAATGTATACAAATCGTGTGAGTTTAAAAATATTTATATAACCATAGAAAATATTTCCACTCTACCTTATCTCTATGGCTTTTTCGCACTTATCCAATAACACTTACAGTCTCTGTTGGAGTTAATTCCCCATTTACCTTTTTCTGAAATCGTCTCACAGATAATATTTCATATGGTGATGAGAGCTGTTTGTACAATTCTTCATTAGAAATTTCTTTTGGTATATACCTTATGACAGCAATTTTCTCAACTGACTGAGCTGAAATATATGCCTTGAAGTTATGTCGCGTTAGAAAATCCTCTGCATTAAGAAAATTATTAGCTGTGTTTGGTTGTCCAAATATGACCCCTATCTTATGTGCGTTTATTCTGTTTAATCGTTTTATTCCTTTAATATCTCTTTGGAGAATTTTTGTCAAATAAAATGGATTTTTATTTCCAATTTTCTCATTAGTAACGCTTTCTAGGTATACTATAAATTCCGCCTGCCCAGCATTTTCTGCAAATCGTCTTTTATAATTGTTTTTGACAAAAGGCTTGTATAAATTTTTTTGATCACTTTCTAAGTTTTGGCCCTTTTTTCTTTTCTTTGGTTTACTAAATTGAGTGCTATTATCTGCATCAGTATCTTCATTATCCATTTCTGACATTATTAGTCGATATTTAAAGCAAAATTGGTAGTCAAATCAAGATATTAAACAAATAAATTTGCAAGAAAATTTAAAAACGCGCGCTCAATTCGACTTCCCGCCAAAAAGTCTCTCGATGTTCAAACTAATGTGAACACAGATTATATATGTGAAGTAATGGTGTGCAGAATCGATTTTTCAAATAATCAGTTGCTCTTGATTATGATTTCATAATCGACGATTAACCATCGATTATTTCTTAAAATTTTAGCAATAGGAATAGTTGAAAACGTTAGTATAGTACCTACTTACTTTACTTTGATGGCTCAGCAACTCTTAGCGGATCGCGTGTGTGAATATTATTATTAGATGATATTACTTATGACAATCCTGGAATACTCCCACGAACAAATAAGTAACTTTACTCTTTTTTCGGGGAACTCCCGATGAATGAATGAACGGATCTTAGTTTTATTTTGACAAATACAAATTAACCGATTTACTAAATGCTCATGTAAGTATACACGGTACATACCTATATCAAAATAATAATCTTTACATTTTTTTCTGTCTGTTTCTTCCGGCTAAACTCTGAAACGTTTAGACCCATTTTGACGGGACTTTCACTGGCAGATAGCTTATGTAATAAGGAATTACTAAGGCTACTTTCCATGCGGACAAAATCGCGGGTACAGCTAGTTTAATTCTATAAATTTTGCATGTAATGCTAGTATAGTAAACATTGTCTTAAAATTGATTTTTAACTAATTTTCATTAACTTGGATGGCTTTAAAATATATTGGAATTAATCTGAAATTATTAATAAACTTTTGGAGTAAAAATATTTAATAATCGTTATCATGAATCGATTATGAGTAATACTATAAACGATTAATCGATGTGTATAATAATTGAATCGGCACATCATTAATGTGAAGCAATGACCTCGAACGTCATAGGATGGAATCGGTAGAGTTGCATACTTAAATCTATATATTCGTGTCTGAAATCGGTAAATGACAAAAGATTACAATTTTCTATCAAAATCCAGGCGCCTGTTGTGTTTAAGACGGGCCTGAGTTTTTTAATCAGTAATTATAATAAAAAATCCGTTTATTATCTATATACTTACCCGATATGTATCAAATATACAGGTATTCGAATAAAATAACATGACTTCCGGCTAAAATGACGTTTGTGCAAAGTACATCGTGCAAATAAATTGTCCTTTCGAAATGAGGAAGTATTAAAAATATACCCCGATATCAAACTAGATGTTGCTACGGTACTTTCTTGATTTCTCCATGACAATCTTTCCGGTTTTCTTTCATGTATAAAAGTAAATTAATTTTCAAAACTCAATTAAGAACTCATATTCTATTTGTACTTATTCGTATTTGTATTGATATTTAAGTTTCAAACTTTGCAAATTTCAGCTTTTAATATGTTAGTTAAAAGGTACGGAAATGACTGTCCTTAGTCCATTCGTTTTCTGTAAAAAATCAACTTTTGCTAGAGTAGCCAACGTGCTTTTTTTAATGTTTATTTTTTTCTTAAAATACTTCCTCATTGGCAGCACTGCTTGTCTGTCAAAACACCGAACAAAAACTTTTGTAAGAAATCGCGCTTAATACTACAAAAGTAATGAAATTACCCATAAAGAGTAATGATTACTCGTAATCTATAATGATTAAACGTATTAAGTATGATTTTGAGACTGCAAGTTTTACAAGATGCGAATGGGTGAGTAAAGATCCTATCTACATTGAATATCATGATAAAGAGTGGGGAATACCAGTATTTGATAGTTTGAAATTATTTGAAATGTTATGCCTAGAAGGCCAACAAGCTGGGCTGTCTTGGATTACTATACTGAAAAAAAGAGAGAATTATAGAAATTTGTTTCATTGTTTCAACCCTTACGAAATAATTAAATTTTCTGATGAACATGTTAAAAGATTACTAACAGATATCGGTATTGTGAGGCACAAGGGAAAAATTGAAGCAATCATCAATAATTCCAAATGTTATATACAGATGGAAAAGCAAAATGAATGTTTTTCAGACTTCATATGGAGTTTTGTTAATCACAAGCCTATTGTAAATGATGTAAATACTAGTAAAGAACTGAAAACAGAGACAGCTACATCAATTGCCTTGTCCAAAGAATTAAAAAAGAAAGGGTTTAAGTTTGTTGGATCTACTATTTGTTATTCTTTTATGCAAGCATGTGGACTCGTTAATGATCATATCAATACATGTATTTGCAAAACAAAAGAATTTCAATCAGAATAAGTAAAATAGTTTACTCTGTGTGAAAAGATGAGCAAATTAACTTTTGTTATTCTTGATACAATTCAGAAAGTAAATAGTACACAATATCATGGTATATATACATGCCAGATGAAAATTATAACATTTGAAATAAATGTCAGTAACAGTTAACAAGTTAATACTGTTAGACCACAAAGACATATTTTTATTGTACCTTTTAATCTAAAACGAAATTTGAATTCAATATCATTTATTCAGTAAAGTTGAAAACTATGCCATTGGTAGGTGCAAAATATGGTTAAGGCTTTAGATTCAGTGCTAATTAAGTGTGCCGCATCATAATTTAATGGAAAAAACAACTACTACGGGTAAAATAAAATCCAACAGTATTATGTTGACTGGAAATGTTGACAATGAAAGAAAAATCTGAAAAGGCCTTAAAAGATATAAACACCTACAACTTACACTACCCATTGCAGATTGTTGCCATGGCCTATGGTTCTAGGGTAAGTTTGGCCATTGGCTAAATATTTTGAAGAAAGCAATGAAGAATGTATGTATTCTTAGTTGAGATACAATATTATAAACACTGCTACAAAATTTGTTTTTTTTTTATCTGATGTGTAATCTGAAAATACTGAAAAAATATATCACCAGTAAACCTAAATAACTAAATGTTGTTACTTAATCCAATACCAAAGAAAGATTTAATTAAAATGTGATCAACATTCATACTATATTGTACAGTTGTAAAGTGGTTTTATATCAGTGGTTGAATGTAATGCACTTAAATATTAATTTCATTATATAACACTGAGTGCAATTTGATAAACATACAATTCAGATCAAATCAAAATAACTGGGACCAGGTCCAGTTTTCAATTTGTATCGTGTGTGGGGGGGGGGGGGGGGGAGAAAAAGCTGAAAGAAACCAACACCTACATTCATATTCTTAACAGGTTCATATTTTTGCATATTATAATCTAAATCAGTTCAGTAATTTTGGAAATGTACCAAAACAATTTAAACAACTTCAAAAAGAATCTAATACATTAATTCAACAGAAAATAGAACGAACTTAAAAAAAAAAAACTAAGTAAACCATATTTCAAGAAACTTAATCTACATATACAATACTCGCTCGTTATAATAGAGCGCAGATACGCTTTCAGCTTTTTGCGTCCCTCAGTTACTTCTGGGCAGACAACCGGAAAACGGGATTGCTGTTGCATTCAAAATGGTAGGTATATCTGGTGGTCACTATGTGTGGCATGAAACTCTAACCAAAATACCGATTTCCGCATAGGTTTGCTGCATCTCGCAGGGAAATGAAACCCGAAAATATGTGGGACATTATTATAGATCTGCAGCTATTTTTGAAGAAATAAAGTTTGCAAAAATACTATTTTTTGAACGGCGAATCCTCTTAATATTACGAAAATTGCCGCTCCACTCGTCAGTTAGTGTGGCGGAATTTTCAACTCAGCAAATTTAATGTACCTATTACATTTTTTTATTTATTTATTTGGTACACATACAGAAGTACAATTACATCAATAAATAAGTCATCACATAACAATGCAGCATATTCAAGTTGTACTTCCAATGACATGTGTACCTACACAATATCATAAAACAAAATCAAGGCAAACATTATAATTTTGAGTAGGTTCAAAATTTATGCACAATTTAAATATGCTTTTTTCAAAAAATCATGTTTTTATCTAAATACATACTATAAAAGTCACATTTTACTTATATTAGGGTTTGTTAGGGTTGCTTATAAATTAATCATCGAAGACAACTATACTTGTTTGGTTTCATTTCAGTATCAACAAAATTCTTATCGCAGTCTTAAATGAAAAAAGTTTACGAGCTGTTGTTCATTGTTAAATCAGAAAACATCAAAGATGATAGCAACTTTTATGTTCGATAGCAAATGTTTAATTCATCCATGAAATTAAGTCTCGATTGTTTCCATACAGAACATACATTTACATGCCTAACTTTAATTAATTTTTATAAAATGTTAATAGTTTTGTTTATGGTACGTATGAGCTAGCAATCCTGTATATTTTCGAAAATGTAGTCATATTCATTGCCTATAAATAATAAATTTATTATTACATTCTTATTTTCCAGCTCAATTTTGCTAGTTCAATGTCGATACAGTCAAATAAAAAAAGTTACTTTTTAGATAACAGTGATATAGAAAATAATGTTGCTGATTTAATGTCTTTGAAAGGGTATCTGCCAAATGAAAAACATTTTCCTAAGAGTGAAAAATATCCTTCTGTTAGTAAATCTGCTGGTAAGTAGTAACTAAGAGAGCGAAGCACAAAATCCTACAAAATCTCCTGTATGCTTCGGAACCTTTCTTTCATAAGCATAGTATACGTTTAACATCTAATGTATACGTCGATAACAATAAGCGCAGAAGAAATAAAATGTGGTAGGTGATCATAATAGTTTACGTCGCAAGGACTCCATAATACAGCTCCAAAACTCGAGTAATAGTAAATAAATCGTTTTTATATTTCCATGTGATGAAATAGCAAGTAGTGTGTCAGGACTTAAATAATATTTAGAAGAGTCGTTAATGTTTTTTTATCCACAGATAGCGACGTCACATATTTACTTTCTAAATTATCAGACGAAGAGCTTTTAAAACTATTAAACGAGCAGCCAAAGAAAACGGAATACGATTTAAATGACATAGTCAGGTTCGCTTTTGATTCAAAATATGTCCAAGATATTAAAACGAAATCAGAATCAGTCGATAGTAAGCCGCGGGAAGTAAACGGGGCTCTCTATGATGAAAATAAGAAGTTTCGTACAGTAACTGGTAAAGAAGAACCCCGCATTGCTTTTTTTAGGCTTGAAAATAAGCAAGTGGATCCATATAGTGTTAAAGCAGATAGTGATCCTAATTACGTTGCACTTCAGAAGCTAAACAATATGTTGTACAGTCGTCCTTCAGAATTGGAGAAGGACGATAAAAGTAACGAAGATGACGCAAAGAAAGAATTACTGTTCGATGTACTTGTGGCACAGTTAAAAACGTTGTGTTGCAAAAGGACAAAGTCGTTTAAACGTGCAAAAAAACATGACACCCCTAATGACTTACATCCCATTATTAATATGAATTCTCAAAATCATAAACTATTGACGAACGAACATATGTTTTTGATTATTAATGATGAAATAAGAAGTAATGGAAGTGATGAATTAATATCAGTGGATCCAGATAGTCTTGAGCTAAACAGCAGCGTCTTACTATTAGGCCCTATAGCAACACCTTTGACAGACTTTCAACTTAGATTAGTGGTAAGTACAGATGATATTCACATCACTTCCTACTTACTAAATGACAATTTGACGAATGCCAACAGCACGTAATGTTAAATAAATATTAGATTTGCATAATATTCATAATTAAAAATGCTTAAAAAAATGTTTTGTAGGTAGAGTTTAAAGTCAAATGAAGAATTTGACAGATTGTTGTAACCTGGCATGCCACCGGGTGTACGGTGATCGATTAAGTGAATGTTTTCTAATAGACTTCGTCAACTTTTAATCGTCATCAATCGTCAAGTTTTTCTTGGACTACAATTATTTATCTATAAAAACAATATAGATGATCCGCAAAAGAGCGAAAATCACCGACATAGCCCAAAGAATTGCGAACCTCAAGTGGTAGTGGGCAGGGCACATCGCTCGCAGGACTGACGGCCATTGGGGCGGTAAGGTCCTAGATTGGCGACCGCGTACCGGGAGACGCAGCGTTGGTAGGCCCCCCAGAAGGTGGACCGACGATCTGGTAAAGGTCGCGGGAAGCCGCTGGATGCGGGAGGCGCAGGACCGATCACGTTGGAGATCTTTAGGGGAGACCTATGCCCAGCAGTGGCCGTCTCCAGGCTGATATGATGATGATGAAGAGCAATACTAATATGAAAAATATATCATAATAAAAAAAAACTTGAGGACTTATATTACATTTTGAGACATTACTAATTATTGTAACATCATTGAAATGTAACAATTGATTTTCAGATGAGTCGTATATCGAACGAATTGTCTAAACCCGAATATCTACCACTACTACAGCAACTTTCTGACGGAACTTTAAGTGGTAATAACATAAAGTTAATGAAAAGCTTAGTCACCGGGCCAGAGACACGGCGATATATAAAACCACACCGGTGTAATTATCAGTCCAAACTGGCCAGAATATATGGAGGACCTAAGTGGTTAATTTGTACCGGTTACTTAAACCTTAACACGCCGAGTTTATATGACTAGAGGCTAACGTTTTTATTTCATCTTTGTAAATATAGATCTTATAAATTACCGTTGTCTTTTTTTTATGAACAATTAGCGCACGTCTTAGCTTCAAGGGATAGCAAAAAAAAAGGTAGAGCATGTTCAGTAGCGTAGCGTGCCTTGACGTGGCCCCGTATAAAAAATTGTTTGGGACCTTTAAGATTTCTCACTAAAGAAAAAAAAAAAGTTTGTTTATACCATGTGAATTTTAATCACATATACCTACATTGATCGAAAGAGGAATATCCATGGATTAATTTGTTATTAGCTTAAAAGGATTAGGCAGCGTTTTCGATGAAAGCTCCCATCAGCGGCTTGACTTTTTATGATCGCCTAACTCTCTAGCCATAGGATACGACATCTTAGCGAATATTATGACGATACCTATTTCGTTTCATTTTGCTATTTTAACACGTCTTTAATGGTCTTCCGATATACAAACGTCTTAAGTTGGTAATACTGCTGTCAAATCCATAATCATAATTCTTTATCAATTGTTTGTCGCTAATAGAGAACATGTCAAAGTCGTTACATGAAACGAAATATCGCCTTAAGATCGCTAAGATGGCTTATCCTTTTTTTTTACGCAGGGGAAATGCACCTTAAGCCTTAAACCAGGTCTCCTCTTCCACCCCGCCCTGAAAAGGGCAGGTTAATGTGGAAGCCCTACCTGGTAAAACCCGCTGCGGTTTACCTCACGCGAACGGATGAGTCCGGTATCCAGCAAGGAGGGCCCGGTCTCAATCCGCGCAAGATGGCTTATCCTATGGCTAAGTTATACAAGAGATTTAGTCGGTCGCACGCCGAAAAGTCGTCACTGTATAAAAACGGGGGAAGATGGAAAGTAGAGTCGGAACGAATCTGATGGAAGATGCAAGTATGCGCTGGTCTTTCGTCGAATGTGTCATTATTTCAAACTGTTCTGACAAGAGTTGCCACGTTTTGAGAATCAAATTCGGGACACTGAGTAATCTGACTTCAGTCCCATATTCATTTTTATTATCAGCAAAGATAACGGAATAATAAAAAATACTTTATCCGTATTATTTATTTCATCGAGATGAAAAATAGACATAAGACCCGCATAGACATGATACCTAGATAATTAAAATTTAAAATGATATTTTTAAGAATTTTATCAAAAATCTAGATTAAATTAATAAGAAATTGGGACGGTCCCGGAATATTCTGGACAGGTGACGACCCTGGCTCTGACGTCATGCAATCAAAAATTCATGAAAGAAAATAGTTGCACGAGACAAAACAAGTTTCACAAAATTTATCCTGCACGTGTAACTCCTTTCGTAATGGCGTGCAATCAACAAATATCTCTTGATACAATTGCTGTCAACATCGCATCTTTACTATGCGCTGATGGTGCCGCGACAATAATTTCGCCAATCGAAGTTAAATTAGTTTCATCAAAAATATGCACCTTGCATGGAACCACAGGTACTACATATTTTAATGTCGTGAAACTAATGCTTACATTGTGGAATTGGACGTTTACGCCGTTAGTACAAATGCAATCGCATGCGAATGCGGACAGGGTCACTCTTTGAGAAATTCCCCTATTCCAAATATCCCTACTGACAAATCCCCACTGGTAGGGATACTAAGATTTTTTTTCCAAATTCACGATACTTGGATAGTCATCAAAAATTGAGAGAGATGGCAACCCTGAATGCGATAATGACAAGAAATGCGAAACATTGCCATACAACTGACAATATTTCGCAAATGCTTCGCATTCTCATGCGATTGCGTCGGTGTACTAACGGCGTTACACTTACAACCGCCAGCGACTGCTGTCAGATTATAATCTAATGAAACGGGATTTTATTACAAACTTTTTAATAAAATGAATATTACATTATTGGTATTGGTGTCCGAGCACATTTATGAGGTTTTCACGTCGTAAGATAATTTGACTAATACAAATACACTTTGAACGTTTTGCACTTCATTTCGGTAGAGAGTAGTCATGAAACAGCCCCACACATACAGGGAATACATCAATCCATTTTTGCGCGGGGAATTCGTCCGATTGAGATTCGTATCGGGGAATCGGATCATGATTTCGATATGTGCGACAACCTTATAAAGAAATGATTGAATCACTGATTCATTAAGTCTCGTTGTCTGATTTTTAAAGCAACTTGTAAAACTTTTATTCAATAAAATTGTTAAACAAATAATTAAAACATGATATACACACTAATTAAAACATGAACACCCGAAACTCATGGATGTGATATGTTTCTCGCCTTCCCATTCCTTTATATTTCTACTCAACGAGACTTCTCGGTGTGAGTCTGCTGGCCTATAAGACCGGATTTTATCATAATATAGAAGGATATACTCCAGAAACATATTGATAAGGTTAATCGAGTCCTCCATATTCAACATTTGATCTCTGTAAATCGTTAGGTACACAAGTTTATTGAAGCCACGGCTTTTGAGTACATACTTATTTACTTTCCATTTTGCTCACTTCTATATCGCAGTGGATTTCCAGCAAATATCGTGCATGGCAACTTAAGAGGAGATCTCATTTAAAACTTAATTGTATTATTTAGTTATTTTTCACTTCGCCTTCCATTGGAGTCATGCTTTGCGTAAATCGAGATTAGTTATGAATCGATAAAGATTTTACCAAAATCTTTGAATCACTACATTTCAATAAATCTTTCCTAAACTGCTTGAAATTCACCAAAACAACAATACCCGAAAATATCTTACATGTCCGAACGATTTCTGTTTCAGAATGATGATGCTATGGAGGCATATACGAATTAGTTACAAGATCACACTTATTTTCCATAGATGGGCTGATTACAAAAATCACGAAATGCCACTCAAATCAATAATCACATTAACAACTCTCGTCAATAACGGTTTAATATTGTCTTCAGGTATTGCGTTCCATTTGTTTGTGAGACATTTTTCTATATCCTGGTAAGTAGGTCTTAGTTTCTCTGTAAGTATAAAAGAAAGATATTATAAATTATACTGCATAGATGCAGTCAATAGCATATATCACTTTATTCTTGGCCATAGGACGACATGCTAATACAGTACAGGTTTATGGTATAGTCAACAGCATGTCAAGTTTTATAAAAATGTAAAATTTATCCACTCTATTTGAAACCTTAATAGTTTGAGGAAATAATACAATTGCGGATGTTTCGCTCACTGAATAGTACAGTAGCACAACTCAAAAACCATAATTTCGAGAAACGCTCTCCGAAGTTATGAAAATTTAATATATTTATAATTATGAGAAACAATTTTTTTTTTGCATAACAGTTAAATCGTTTGCATTATATTATTACTGTTAAGTTTTTTATTTTTTCTTTAAATTATCTATGGGATGGGCCATGTTGTGGCGTTTTTTCGAAATAATGGTTTTTGAGTTGTGCCACTGTACTATTCAGTGAGCGATTTGACATATTATAGTGGTAGTGTGACGTGCAACCGTGTGCTCTTGAATAATAAAACTATTACAATTTAATCATCAGCCCTTTTACGTCTGCACTGCAGGGGCCAATTCTGGCCCAATGCGGATAGGAGGACATTAACGACTGCAAATGCAATCGAGACCAACGGCTTATCGTGCCTTCCGAAGCACGGAGTAGCACGCTATAATATGTTTTTGGTCAACCATCTCGTGCCACCCTTGGGTGAGTTGCTTAACTATAACGATCGCCGGCCCCGGTGCTTATCCACTACGCCACCGAGCTACTCATTTACATATTACAATTTAATACGTATTCACAATAATTGGTCAGCCTTTTATTCATTTACTTAAGCATCGAACCTGTCACATGTTTATTGTCTGCGCTAATACCTTTGTCGAGCTTTGTGTAACATTCCTTATTGATATACATTTTCGGCAAAGTTCTGGCTTGATAATTTTGATGGTTTGATAAAATATGAAATCTTAACTTTGATATTTTTATTCTGATACGAAACCAAACTTTATTTGGACATTGTCCTTTCCCATAAGATAGGAGATCCACCTCAATAGAGTATTGATACTATTTCTATACTTTTTTGGACTAATTGATAATATGGCGAGTAAAAGATATAATGAATGGAATATTGGGTGAATGAATTTAGATTATATTTTAGATGCTAGTTATAATATGAGTTTAATAGGTAATTTTATATATTAATTACCTGATGATTTCTCTGCACAACTTTCTAGATTAAGTGTGAAAAATATAGCAGCTTTTGATACAAGTGGATTATATTCATCACAGAAATAATGAAAAGCCATAGCAAGATATGATGGAATCATATCCATGTCTTTAACAAGCATAACTCCAGTCTTGGCAATATCGTGTCTATACGTGTTCATTAGCTCACTGTGTGATTTCATATTCAATTGCGAACTGTGTACTATAGTTGGTCCAGACGGCATGCTATTATTACCTGAAATAAAAAGTGAAATTACTCACGGAAAGCATATAAACATAAGTTCACGCTTTTTACTATTTTTTATTTTCTATTTACCATGGGCACACTCTTGACCTTAATCTAGCCTAAAGACATAGATGAAATCTACGATGGGACGAAGTATTTAAAATATGGCACTAAAAAAAGCACCTCCACTAGATTAGGCGACTCTAGCAAAAGTTGATTTTTGCAGGAAACGAATGGACCAAAGAAAGTAATTTCCGTTCCTTTTAACTAACATATTAAAAAACTGAAATTGGGAAGTTCGAAACTTAGATATCAATACGAAAAAGTACAAATAGAATATGACTTGTTTATAGTTTTGAATACTAATTTACTTTTAAACATGAAAGGAAACCAGAAGGGTTGTCATGGAGAAATCAAGAACGTACCGTAGCGACACTATACTCCATTCATTATAACATTAGAAAAAAGAGGGTCATAGAAGCAGCAGGGCAGAACATTTTATTTTCAAGATATTTAAAAAAAATATATTAGATTTTTTTTAAACTTTGAACATTAGGTAGTCTGAAAGAGCTGGGCAATTTTCCATTTTTTACGATACCTCGGGGTTGAGATGAGGCCAGCATTTTATAAATTCATCTTTTACTCCCAAGCCAAAATGGAACTAAAACTGAAACTATCTATCTGTTGTTTTGATAAATTCTAATTGTAAGTGTAATTAGTTAGACTATTGATGAAGACATTGGAAAAACTTCCTGAAATGTCAATGGTTGAGGGTAGGCATGGGGGCTTGGAGTGTAATTTTTGAAGGCCACTCGGGCCTGCACCGGAATGTCAATTTAGCAAAACTTAACAACATAAAGATAATAACTAAAACAAAACTATAAGAAAACAAAAATAAAACAGTAATTACTCAATCACCGAAAATGACAAAACAACAAGAAAGGCATTCACGATGAATGAGAATCCCAGATTACACATTTTGACTATTATGAATAAATCATAATCTGACAAAATTAAAAAGCTGTACTGCCGAAACTTTTGAAGGGATTAGGCAACGTTTTAAATTTGGTAGAGTTATAGTGACATGAGAATCGTGCCGAAACTATCTAACCACAGAACATAGAGAGAGATTAGAAGTATAATGATATTAATTTAGTATGGGAACCGAGTGTCGCCTCTCCGCACACAAATACAGATTAGATGAAATGATCATTTTGTTCACTACATGAAAAACCGCCACGCGATAGGTTCGCGATAACATAAACCAAATCCCAAAAAGATACTAAGCTAAGAAATCACAAGATTAAAAACAAACTCTAATTTAACGTGATAATAAATAATTTACTTTAACATGAATGTTGAACTGTCACGTGGCTGTATATGGGGATGCCAGAAGGAAAAAAATATTTTAAGATTAGGCACATTTAAAAAAATTGGGGTGATCATTTTATGTGCGAACTATTAATATTAGATTTTGCTGTAACCAAGTGAATACTGAAAAATTAAGGCTTTTCCCTACATAACTTATTAAAATATCTTTTGAAAAACGCAGTACAAAAACTAAGAAAACTTAATGATACACTCTATCGTATGTCTGTGGAGTAATATAATTAAGCGAGGGAAAGTGTAAAAAAAAACAAAAATTAAGAAAACAACAGAATTTTTGTATTAATTACATTAAGCCTAATTTGTATTTTTTTACTGGTATCATTCCGATTGTGCATATTAGTGATGTGACATATTAGTTGATAAAATAAGAGCTTTAAATTTTGTTATGAAACAGTTCAATGTAATTCAGTTCGACAATTTTCTACAGTGGTTTGATAGTAATTATTTAAAGCTTTATTCAAATAAAACGAAATACATAAAGTTTGCATTACCTAATGTGAGGCATGTTAATATACTTATAAATGTAAATAGTGAAAAAGTTGAGATGGTGGAATCGACAAAGTTCCTTGGTATTTTGGTATATTGATAATTTGTCAAGTAGACTGAGTTCTGCAGCATTTGCTGTTAAGAAAATTAGACTCTTAACAAATGTTGAAACGGCAAGATTGGTATATTTTAGTTATTTTCATAGTGTAATGAATGGCGTATAATCTATTGTTATGGGGTTCTGCGGCTAGCATTCAAGATATTTTTATTCTACAAAAGAGAGCTGTCCACGCTATATATAATTTACGGTCTAGAGAATCTCTCAGAGAAATATTTAAAGAAATAAATATTTTGACTGTTGCCTCTCAATACATCAATGAAAATATTATGTACGCAAGAAAACATTACGATTCCTTCACAAAAAAAAAGTAGAAATAAAAATAAACTTGCCATTCCAAGTGCTTGTAATAGCCTTCTTGAATAAAGATATTTTCATTTCATTTCATAATAACTAATATGATCATTACACTAATAAATTGATCATAGCCATGTTTGTTTTACTTTATTATTCTAAGTTTTATATCTGTAATAATAGTAGTAGCTACATTATTAATTGCAACGACTGGACAATAAGGAATTGCTGGTCAAGTATGAAAGCCGTGACAAAAAAAAGTTTGAAGATAGACACAAAAGCGATAAGTACGTACAAACGTCAATCTACATATAAAGTCACATCCGTTTGAGACATGCGTCTATAAACTTATGTGCAAATATGGAGCAACAAAAAAACTGATAAAAGCTGTTCTGTGGGCGGTTCACACAAAACTAAACACATCTTCACTCAACTAAACTTAACACTCAAGACGAACACTCTAATATCTTATTAACAAAAATTCAATTAAAAATGCACCAAAACAAAACAAAAATCGACAAAAAAGACGCTTCGCAGCGGTGCGTCGGCGGCGATGCGCAACAACACTCCAGCGCAAAAGGTCGACGGCGACTGATCGGCCAGAAAATATCGACAGAATAATGAAGCCACCTGGCGGCTGGTTGGGCGGGTGGGGCTTTGATATCGAGGGACGAACTCGGTTCACATTATTTTGTCGTCTTTTGATATCACGCATTTTTTAATGTTCTTTTTAAATGCTATTTTAATAACAAATTCCTCAATGATTTTAAAACAAAGTTCATTTGTGTTAATGATGAATCGCTGGAAGATTTGTGAGTTTATCGAGTTTAATTAACGATCCCGTTGTTAAAGGAGTATTACCCCATTCAAACAATTTTTTTGGAGAATTGCTCTTTTATAACGTAGGTTAATGTTAGGCTGATCTCTCTACAATAATTTAGGAAATTTTACACTCGGTTTCTTAATTGAGAATTTAAAGCTAAACGTCTCAAACTATCATCACTCAGTTTTCTTTAAAGTGGCTTTCTTAACTCGATTTCTATAATAATAGTTTCCGATTATGAATCAGCATAATAAGGTAAATTAAATTGACGCCTAAAAATTAATTTTGTAAATTAAATTCACACCACCAACAATATTACGTTAGTTGAAAACATAATTTTTTGTTTGTATAGATATTATGTTGTTTTGAAATTCATTTGATAGGTTTAGGTCTAAAACAGATAGGGCAAAATTAATTATGTAAACAAGGCAATCCATTGTATAGTGATTAGGGAAACTGAAATATAAGTAATGCAAAATAAGTGAAATCCAGTTTCACCAGTTTCTAACAAGACCTATTAGGCCAACTCTTAGCTTTTCATGAAGTTTCGTTTAATTTATGTATTGTTCATAAAACGGTGATATACTTCGTAACTTAGATATTTATAGCACATCAGTATTTTTTAATATTTATCTGTGTGTAAATAATTAACCGAATCTTCGTAAAAAAAGTGCCTGGACAGTTCATTATTTCCTTTGTTTAGTATCAGTTCATCTATAATTTTCCCTTGTAAACAGTATTTTTTAGTTTTATATAATTATGGCATATATTTATCGATAACGTTGTTATGAAATGATGAAAGAAAAGCTCTAAATAAATATGTTTTAGTTATCGATTACGATCTATATAATTAACAATACGATTCCGAGCAGCAGCAGCCTATCGGTACATTTCAGACAAATGGAGGCACAGCACTATTTTTTGCAAAAGTGCACAAAATGATTTACATTGCTGTTTAGTAATGGGGTCAGAAACATTGATGTTGGTTTGAGCAATCAATGTATATTTTATTTAACATTGTGTCAAATTATTACGTTTTTTATATTTTAGCACTAAAATTGTACTTACCAGTGATAGGAAATGTTTGCATTAGTTAGATTGTATACTTTGCTTTGCTTTTTGCAAGTGATAATAGCACAAAACGGCATTTTTTATAGAAAAAATCTGTAAAATCACCACTCGACGATTGACGAACGACTGGCAAACATAAAACCGAGGATAGGGCTACATATGAGTAAAAGCGCATATGCCAGCGACGCGTGCCCCGCCCACTTACTACTTCTATTCTCTCTCTATGTTCTGTGTATCTAACCCTGCTTCTTTAGGTACTTTAAGATGAACACTTTTTATTGTAATAATTATTAAATGTTTTAAGTCAGTTAAATACTCATAAATTTGTTTAATATATAGCTTAAAAGACTACGGTTAAGTATAGCGAGTGGATATGTAGCAAATAGGGAATATGCACATTTTTGGAAAATGGTTAAATATGATAATTAACATCGATATATAACTGTAAAAAAATTCCCGGCACCGAAAAACTAAAATATTGTAACATTAATCATTCATGAAAATAAGTAATAGCTACGAGCAGTTTTAACACCGGAATTTTTGGCGCTCTTGTCGTGACGTCAAAGTACACGACTAGAGATATGACATTTTAAATCAATATGGATTTTGAGTGATTGATTATTTTTCAATTACCCAAATCGATTAACAACTTATTGATTTTTTTATGTATAATAGACTTTTTTAATAAGTCATATAATTTACCAAATTGGTGAAATAAAAATAAAAGCTTAAAACATCATTTAAATTGTAATATGGTGTTTATTTTGCGACTTAATACTTTGATGTTATTGCATCGATGTTAACTTTTTGTAACAACGACATCCCTATACGTGTACATTTTCGTCACATCCGCTCTGACAAGTAGCATGGCGTTTTAATATTTTGAAGTTACCACATTTATTTTGCACTTTTTAATAATTATTTTCAAGACGAAAACGAACGAATTTTGAAAAACATTTAGACAGACTTTATTCTAAAGCAATAACGATTGTAATAAAATATATTTAACCCTATTTTGAATCAGACGCATATTCCCTATTAGCCGTTAGTCTTAAGAGTAACATGATTGTTGACATTTTGTCACAAAGTATACCATAAAAAGAACCTTATTTTCATTCTGTCTAATGCTATAATGAATGGAGTAAAGTTTGATTTCGGAACCTAATGTTTTTTTTTAATACTTCCTCATTCCAATTAAAATCTGTATGGACAACATATACTGGGAGGAACAAAATGACCGACACAGCCGAAAGTTTCAAGTTAGGTTACATGCAAACGTTCATTTTATTTGACAAATATTTAAAAATAGAGGAGGTTTAAAAATGGAGTAAAAATTTTTAATTTCTAAGTGTTAACAGCCCTATAACGCGCATGCGCAATATCGGTTGTGTGCAGATTACAACGAACCGCGAAATGCATTAATTTAATTTAATTATTTACCGATATCTTAATGATAGTCGATGCTGAAAATATTCACTTCCTCTCTGAAGACTGAGCTAAGCACGCTCTTTTCAATGCCGGTGCATGCACGCGCAAAACACATCACATTTCACACAAAACTAAACACATCTTCACTCAACTAAACTTAACACTCAAGACGAACACTCTAATATCTTATTAACAAAAATTCAACTAAAAATGCACCAAAACAAAACAAAAATCGACAAAAAAGACGCTTCGCAGCGGTGCGTCGGCGGCGATGCGCAACAACACTCCAGCGCAAAAGGTCGACGGCGACTGATCGGCCAGAAAATATCGACAGAATAATGAAGCCACCTGGCGGCTGGTTGGGCGGGTGGGGCTTTGATATCGAGGGACGAACTCGGTTCACATTATTTTGTCGTCTTTTGATATCACGCATTTTTTAATGTTCTTTTTAAATGCTATTTTAATAACAAATTCCTCAATGATTTTAAAACAAAGTTCATTTGTGTTAATGATGAATCGCTGGAAGATTTGTGAGTTTATCGAGTTTAATTAACGATCCCGTTGTTAAAAGAGTATTACCCCATTCAAACAATTTTTTTGGAGAATTGCTCTTTTATAACGTAGGTTAATGTTAGGCTGATCTCTCTACAATAATTTAGGAAATTTTACACTCGGTTTCTTAATTGAGAATTTAAAGCTAAACGTCTCAAACTATCATCACTCAGTTTTCGTTTCCGATTTTAGTTTTTTGATGATCAGTTGATAGCAGTTTGATAAAACTAGGACTATTTGACTTGTGAAATTAAAAAACTTAGGTTATTGAGAATAAGCAGTAGAAAATTTCTACTTTTTTCAAATAAGAAACCGGCTGTTAGTCTGTAAATCGATTTAAGCATTTTGACGGCCTTGATTATTGATTGTCTGGTAGAATTTGCATGAAAGCAGTCTTATAAATAAATCACAAACTAGTTTATTTCGTTTTTAGAAATGAAGAAGTCAATGACCGATTTTAAACTTTTCCTTAGTACGTCCCAAAAACAGCTGATTCAGGGTTGAAAACACTCATTTTTTTCAAAAACTATGTAATTTAATATCTCCGAAACTATTTGACCTAGACTTATATTTTTTTTACATCATATTAAAGATAAATATAACTCTCCAGGAACCTCGGGAGTGTCGGTCGTTCTGTTCCACCGAGTATAGTACTGTTAAAAAAACAGATGGTATATATTAGATCATTAGTATTTCGGGAACTAATTTTTTTTTCAATACTTCCTCTTTCCAATTAAAATCTGTATGGACAATATATATAGTACTGTTAAAAGAACATAATGTATGATATCAAACACAAATTAACCCTTTTTATAATACATATTTGTAATTCTAAAGCTTCAAACAAAACTGAAAACTCAGACCAAACGGGCTACTGATGGTCAAAATAGTATAGTAAACATTCTCTTTGTCTATGTAAACTGTTATATCGTATCCACCATACTTATTCCAATAATAGTTATAATGGAATAATGAAACATAATGATACTTACGTAAATATTTAGCAGCAGCAAGGGCTATGTCTTCTATGAAATTATTGAACTGTATGTGATTAAGCTGCAATCGTCTGTTATATACAAATATGAATGAACCACTGTCATTTCTTTCTGAAATTGTTGTTATACCTGTAAATAATTTTAATATCTTATTAGAAATATTTTCTTTAAAAATATATTTCGTTATATGAATTTGAAAATCGGGGTTCCATACAGGTACTACAGATTTGCCATAGTTTGGAGGGTGCCTGGCATTGGCTACAGTAACGCAGTATCTAAGTAGACAGAAACGTCTAATTAAAAAAAAAGCTCAGTCTGTGTAACGTCATAATGGTCGTACTTGTCGGTCGTGTTTTTGATGAACAGTCATGAACATGTCTGGTTATACAAATGTGTCGGATTTCTACACGTGATTTTAAGCCTAAATGATTTGAAGGTAGCGTTTAAATTAGTTGAATTGAAAATCTACCCTCAGATTTGCAGTAGTAGTGTCAGGCCCGTCTTAAGCACAGTAGGCGCCCGGGTGCAAACATTGCCCGAAAAATCTTCGCGTCCAAATTACCTCAGTGTCTCTAGACCAAACTCATCAGTGTGTTGCCATTAATGACTTACAAAAATTAAGCGAAACGTGGTCGTCCACAATGGGTCTCATAAGAAGGCTCCCAGGTCATCCAACGGACAATAGATGGGAGCAATGCTGGTATTTCTCTACATGTTCGAATTAGGAATGAGGAGATTCGTAATTCGGAAGTTTTCGAATGGCGATCATGTACCGGACAACGCACAGTGGGTGGATCTTATAAAGGTTGCGGGTAGTCGCTAGATGCGGACAGCGCAGGATCGATCGTCGTGGAGATCTATGGGGGAGGCCTATGCTCAGCACTGGGCGTTTCACGATTGATGATAATGATGATGACTTCCGTTTTTATAGTGTTAAGAAGAATAAATTATATATATTTATCTATATAAATTTGTATTAAACGAAAAAATCCGAATATTTTCCCGATTGGGAATTTTCCTGCGCTTTTTTCCCAATTTGGATTTTTTCTGGGTAAAGTATTAACTGTCATTGGCTCTACAACTTCAACTGTAACTTTAACCGAGTTGTGTTTGTCCGAATGATGTGTCAGGGTGAGGGATTAACTCTTAGCTGATTAATCAGGATTAATCTGCCCATTTCTGATTAGTTTGAAAACATATCTGTATTTGTGACTCTTGAAAAACATTAGCATTATTATAAAAAACATACTTAAGAAATACTAAAAAAAATAGAAAAATGTTTCATCTCTCTTACCAGTTTGTAATTCTAAAAGGGGCTGTTCTCCAATTTGATATTTTTCACCCAAATTACCAATTTCTTGACTGAATGTTATTTCATCATAAACATTCTTGCTGTGAACTTGAGCTATATTGAATATTTCCCCATAATAAACTGCTACAGCAAGACTGATAAGGCCACATATTGGAAGTAGAACTCCTAAGTATTTTTTATCGCTATGTTGCTTAGCTTCTTCTCTTAAACTCAATTCTTCTCTTCTGTTAAAATGTCTTGTTTCAAAACTATCATGTCTGTAACTTCTGCTGTCGTTAGGAGTTCGAGTTAAAGATGGTGAAGAATCATCATGGCCTTTGTAGAAATCACTTGGTAATGATTGATGTGTGACATATTCATCACTGTAATATGATGGCATATTTGCAGGTAAAGATTTTGCAAGTAATTTACTGCAATAAAACACATTACCAGCTCATTCATCTATACTTAAAAGAGAACTTATCCTTACTAATTCATCATCACCAAGCATAAACAAATGAAGTTGGACATATGCTTTAGTCAGTAGAGTTATTTTGTGAAGAAGACACTCGCCAAGGAATTTTTTTTGTAAATTAAACCCTCCAAGAGAGTGAAAGTTTGTATGAAAGTCTCAGTTTTGAAGTTAAAAACACGAAGCTTTACATTCAAAATAGAGGTTGAATGTTTGTATAGAAGTTAATCAGTTTTAAAGTAAAACTAAGTAAATATCTATTTCAGCATTTAAGAAAATTTTGTCTATATAAGGGTGAAATACATGTTGGAAGTTTGTATGGAACTTGTGTTAATTTTGAAATATAAAACTTTCTAACTAACAGTTATTATGATAAAGAGATAGTTTATTGAATAACTATTATTTTATAATACAGGGTGTCCGCCGGCAGATTTTACATTTTGAATGAGGTTTGTGCGAGTCAGAGTGGTGGGGGCGGGGGAAGCGGGGTAGCAATCGACGCGTGAGTGTTGTGGATATTTAGTAGTCATGAGTCAATGGACAGGAGCGCACCGCGCTTTCGCGGTAGAGGCTTACTTCGCAAACGGTAATTCTGTGACTATAGCGAGGCGACGTTTCTGTTCACGCTTTGATATCCGGAAAATAAAAGAAGGTCCATCGAATCAGTTGATTTTGAAGTGGGTACAGAAGTTCAGAGAAACTGGATCAAACATAAATCAACCTCGACCTGAGCCTTCCACTTCTGTAGCGACTCCGGAAAACATCGATCGCGTAAGGAAACAAATTATGCAAAATCGTCACAAATCTGTCCGGAAGATCGCAGCATCAACAGGCATAAAAAGACGTCAATTCACAAAATTATAAAAAAGCATATAAAGTTTCATCCTTATAAGCGCTAAATTATCCAACAATTGAAAGAAGAGGACTATGTTAGGAGGACATAGTCCCAGCACATTCTTGAGCGTTTTCCGACATCAACTCGTTTTGGAAACATTTTTTTAGCGACGAGGCGCATTTTCACATTGGAGGGTACGTAAATAAACAGAATATGCACTACTGGAGCGATAGTAACCCCAGAAAAGTGTATCAAAAGCCCCTCCATAGCCCTAATACGACAGTTTGGTGCGCGATTTCCGCTAGCAGCTTAATCGGTCCTTATTTTTATGGAAACCGTGAAACAGTGACTGCAGAAAGATACGGCCATATGATGGACACTTTTTTCATCTCGGAATTGCATCGTCACTTTGCATATAACAACAGAACACATTTCCAGCAGGATGAGGCTACGGCACATACCGCTAGGGTCTCCATGGCCAAAATGAGACAAGTTTTTCCCGGACAATTAATAAGCTGCTTTGGTGACATTGACTTGCCGCCCAGGTCACCAGATCTGACGCCATGCGACTTTTTTTGTGGGGATACCTCAAATCTCGTGTTTATTGCAACTCGCCAACAACAATACAGTCTCTTCAAGAAAATATCCGACGTGAGATCACAGCAATCAGTCCAGATTTGTGCAAGAGAGTTTTCTCAAGTATAAGAGCAAGATTGCAGGAATGTGTGCTAAACGACGGACAACATTTAAGTGGTGTCATTTTTAAAAATTGAAATCCGCACTAATGCATTGTACAAAAAATAATAAATGAGTTTGTTTTTGTAATTATTTATTATTTTATAACCTATCATAGTATAAAATCTGCCGGCAGACACCCTGTATATTGATTTCATTAGATGCCAAATTAGTAGGATACAATTAATGAACATTAAAGTAGTGCAGTATTTAATTAAGCATGAGATGGTAATGTAGAAGCTGTGAATGGTAAAAAAAAAATATAATTAAGCAATTTGGCTGTACTTTTACTTTTAGTATTAATACTCATTTTCTACAGTACAAACCTGTCAGAAGAAACATCTTCATCATTTTTATCTGGTGTGTGGAGAGAGTTTCTTCTTCCTTTTGTATTCATATGAAGTGGAGAGGACTGGTGAACTGGTTTGCTGGAAAGATTTTTAGTAACAACAATTAAAGTTATTATGATCTTAAAAAAAAACTATAATTAGTCCCACAAGTTTGTAATTAATAAATATTATTAATAGCACATTAATAATAATTTAATTTAAGTAGAGATTTTTTATACCTATGTTATACTCAAGTCTAAATTATTTTTTCTTATAAAATTAAGTTTAGCTAAAGATAAGACACTGCTGTTTGTACACACTGCTGCATGTCAGACTATACATTGTGGACTTTGTAACAACCATGCTTCATATAGAACTTCCCTACTAACACAGGTCTGCCCTCAGTGGTGGCGTGTAGCATAAGTGTGGCTATGTGTACATTACAAAGTGAATAATGTAATCAATCTATAGAACATCAGAGTGCTTATAATGAGTTTTGTTTCATGTTTATATGCACTCTATCTAATAACATTAAGTTTCCAGAACAGAATCTACTAGTGAATGAATACTCATTACTCTGGTCACTATTACTATCAAAGGTAAAGGTTAAATTTCAATTTTGAATCAAACTTTTGAGAAGCTTAAATTTCATTAAATTTTGTCATTTTTACCTGATTTGCTATAGACATTACACACATTGGGTTTAACATGATATTTATAACAAATATTACCTCATGACATTGTCAACTACATCGATTCCTTCCTGAATAGAAGTATCTTTGGTTTTGGGTTGTTCATTATATCGTGATTTAAGTCCATAGCGGCCCATGATACGGTTACAGTCAGCGAATATGCAATTTTCGTGATTATGGATACTTTTTCGAGCAGATGGTTTGTACGGAGGTCCCCCTGTCTATAAAAAATGTTTGTAAAGACATTAAATAGATCGGTTAATATACAAACAATATTTTCTAATTGTTGATACGTAGCTCACCCCCAAATTGTTTTGATCACACATTTATCTATTCTATTCTATAGTTATACTTTATTAGACATCCTTATCTCCTTGTAACAATACTTGTTGTTAAAATTGTTATAAATAAATTAATTTCTACATGTAAAATGGAAATGAAATGAAACGACCATGACCCATAGAGAAATATAATATTACCAAAAGGAAAAGAGAGCCCTCTCGCCGATATTTTTGAAACCCTAGTTTGAATAGTGGCGCCATCTCTTAACCTGTACGCAAACTAAATCATCCAGCGTACTATATATAGGTACCTATATATTTATATAGTTTCTGTATATACAGTTCGACAAGGATCAAAGGTTCCATGGGTAAAATTTGGCCGTGCTGAAAAAAGAACAAGTTGGGCCTACTGAATACTTCGATTTACTAGGTTGTAGACTACCAGAGCCATAGTAAATCGATACTTGCATTCAGTGAGCCTAAATTGCTCTTTTTAGAGCGGCCAAATTTTACTCATGGAACCTCAGATCCTTGTCGAACTGTAATTCTCTTTTGGAGAATTCCATTTTGGAAGGTTGTTAATTCGTTTTAAGTGGTTTTATTAGACGTGTTAATAATGTCGCACATAATGTTAAAGAATCAAGTATACGCCTAACAAAATTCCACTCAAAACTTTGAAATAAAACTCTTTTTTAACTAAATTTACAATTTATTTATGCTTGTGTTTATTAAAATACAGTTGTGCATATTTTTTTATTTCGTCATCCCCTTCATCTTCATATGTCATCTTGCCAGATAAAATTCGGTTTATTTGTCTGCACCAACTGTTTATAAAGACATTTATAGTTGTTTTTACAAAATAATCAAATAACTGATCGCTGTGTCTTTTACATGTACATGGGAATGAGTACAACGTCTTTACAATAATTATTAATTTGGCTCGTATATTTGCCTTGGGTACATTTCTTTTTAATAATGTAACTGTGGCACGTTGTACTTCATAAAAAAAAAATACAATTTCCTTAGATGGATAAGTTTGCCACCTTTTGTTTTTATTATATTCTCTTAATCTAATGTACTCATTAAAAACATTACTATTGTCACATAATAATTCAGATTTACATGTGACACAGCCTTTTACAACATTTGTTAAACATTTTTTTACAACCCAGCCACATACATAATTGCGTTGGCCCAAATCTATTTCAATTTCCTCATTTAAGAGTAATTCTAGATTAATATTAAAATTTTCTTCGGAAATATCATTCTTCTCTTTGTATTGCTCTTTTTCTGCCAGAAAGAAATCAAGTGTTTGAAGGCATTTATTTTCGTCCTTTTCACAATTTGAGCCGACTGAATGAGGTGAATTAAAATTATTTAATAGTAAAGCCTTAAACGCTCCTTCAAACGCGACAGCATTAGGCGAATTATTTCTCGCACCATAACTGCGAATATTTCCGAAGAAATTTTCAACAGGGTCTTGGTTGAAGTGCCGTGTCAACATACAATCAAAATTATATTTATTATTCAAAATGTACCACAAGGCTTCAAACCCTTCTATAGTTTTAATAAAATTATTTGTGGTTGGTACACTGCTTGTTACTAACCGAATTTTATCACCGGTCTTTTTAGTCATAACAAACTTAACGCTTTTTAAAACAATTTTAGCTTTTGTCCAAAGTCTATGATGAGGTGACGATTTTTTTACACATCCTTTATAAATTTTCCCGTTAGGGATGTAAAAAGAACTAGAATTTAAAGAGTCAAACAAATTGTCGACCAATGCGACCAGAGGAATTAAATGGCGACATTCTTCTTTTAAAATCCCTCGCGCTGTCAGATGTTCAGTCACAACTGCCACACTGTGACTAAATATCTGAGCAGCCAGTTTTACCCTCATCTTTTTTATTTTTTCAGGGTTTATATGTTCTTCCGTTATTTTATGCAATAAACGAAGTTCCCCAAATGTTTTGTCAGCTTCATAGATATTTCTAAAATATTCCCACTTCACAATTTTCTCTTTACCGTCATCATCTATATCTCTATACAGTAAATCTTTCGTCAGTAAATTATTTCGCAGACCCTTTAACAAATGGGGAACATCATAGAGGGGTATAATTTTAAGTTTTTTAATTTCGTAATAATCATACCGCCATTCGTTTCCTTGTCGCAAAACCACAGCTTTGGTTTCATTTACTAAGTCTGTAATGGCTCCAACATTTACTGAGCTTTGATCGCAGACTGAGCATAGGGGAATCAAATCAGTAGCTTGTATTGCTTGAACTACCTCTTCTATAATATTTTTTAATTTATTTCTCGTGAGGCGGTTTGTGAAAAAGTAAGCTACTGGTTGTTTAAAGTTGGCTTTCAAACCCTTCACCATAAAAACTAAAACATGGTCTGCAATTTCGCTATCATTTTCACTTGTCCCCATGCTCACAAAACCTTTAAATTTATCGTTAGCCATGTCAAAATTTATTTGTGGCGTTATATGCATCTCATCAAATATTAAAGAACAGAGTCGCTCTTGAACATTCATATCTTTAACAGTTTTTTTCAATTTTTTAAAAACTTTATTATTTATACCTGGTCCTAACTTAACCTGAGCTAAAATTGCTTTTAGGGTTTTTTTTGACGGCAATGTGAAGCAATGCGCCAAAAGGGCATAACACTTTGGGCTTCTTTTATACAGGGAAAGAGATAAAATTTTTTCCTCTAATGAGAATCTCCGCCCAGACGGTTTCTTAGCAGTTTGTTTATACTGCATATTTGTAAATAATTTTGCAGCAGAAGACATGTTTTTTGTAACTTTTTGTAATGCTTTGTCTTCACTCATTTTAGATGCACTTTCTAATCTGCTCTTGAATGTATTGCACCGCTGTCTAAGCACCTTTATCTGTCGTTTAAAACCTTTTATTAGGTTTTGCTCATTTTTATATTTACTGAGCGTCAAAATAGGCTTCCTGTTGATTTTATCTGAAAAAAAAAAATACTTGTTAGACTTTGCCCAAGGTACAAACGAATACAACCTACAAAAATGTAATTAAGCACATGTCTATCAAATCCTTTTCGGCCCATACGCTATTTCACTATATCCAAGGATAATTAAGATTTCGCTATGGAACAAGTGTCTTCAGGTTCAGAATTTAATTGTGGATCCGATAGTGAATGAATTTTGAAAATTGGCTAGATAGTTTTAAAGAAATTTCGAAAATTGTAAAAATATCTGGAAAAAAATTAAATCTTTTTTAAGTAAGTTATTAATTAAAAAAATACTATTACATATATTGAAAAAATAGGAAAACACATCTTCGAAGACAGATTGCGCGTCGATTGAGACCTCTCAGAGTGAAATTGGTTAATAATTGTGTACTTTACAAGCGTGAAAAAAAGTAAAAACGGCCGAAATCGTTGAAAACGAGAGAAGTTAATGAATGATGAAGATGAGATTTTTTGCTGAATGGTCCAAAAAATCGTCTTTCGTGAAATTCGCCATCATCGATGGCAACAACGACGGTAAGACTATTCCAAATTTCAAGTTGATAGCTTTAGTAGTTCTTGAGATATCCAGCTGTGACAGATAGACAGACAGATAGACTTAGTCACACCATAAGCGTTCCTTTTGAAATAACGTGAAGTAAAAATCACATTTTTGAAAATTAACCGTTTTTCGAACTTTCGGTGTATTTTTCTCCTAACTAGTTCAAACAAAGTTCCGAACTTGCTGCTTTCGAGCTTTCCATCTAGACGCCACTTTTGAACACTCATTGACAGGACTATTATATAATTATTAATAATCTTACCAATAGGAGCCATGTTATATTTTCTAGGCAGCAATAAATTGCTATAATTATGCTCCAAAAATGTGGAGATGCTTGGCCCTGAAAAAAATTGTAATGACTTTTAGAACCATATTTTTTATAAATTCATTGAGTACCTATTAGTTACAGTAATCAACCATTTTATAAATTTCTAAAACATTAGTTATGATAATAAATACAAGTAGAGAGTAAAATAGTATAGGAATGTATATGTATTAGAAAAAATTTTAGGTGGTTTAAGTAAAAATTTTAAATTTATATTGCCAAATTAAGTGATTCTCAAATGATTACCTGTCGAGTATACGATCGATGATGTCTGATGACAAGAAATATCCATAGTCATTTTTGTCGCGGGCTCAGAAACTCGGACTGTCGCTGATGAGGCACTGGCAGCAGGTTTATCTGAAAATTTATTTATTTATTTCAATTTTTTATAACTTTTTCATCTTTGCATTTTTCAATGCTATCTTTAAATATAAATTTTTTACTGAAAAATAACAAGGCTCGGGCGAGGTTGAACCCGCAACCTTTGGATTACCGGTCCACAATTGAAAATTGTAAATTGCTCAATAGTGGAATCGTATTATTCTAGATTTAAAAAAATAAAAAGTTATTATTTAAATGTTAACAAAAAATTACAATATTTATTTTACATTAAGGCATAGCAAGTCCACAGCTCAATTGTCGAGTAGAAAAAATATTATTAACTTTTTAACAAATAATTTCAATATATATTTTACATTAAGGCATAATAAGTATAAACTACAGTTTTCCGTTTTAATCAAGTGATTCCTACATTATTACCTGTCGAGTATGCAATCGATGATGTTTGATGACAAGAAACATCCATAGTAATTTCTGTTGCAGGCTCAGAAACTCTGACTGTTGATGCTGAGGCACTGGCAGCAGGTTCATCTGAAAATTTATTTATTTATTTCAATTTTTTATAACTTTTTCATCTTTGCATTTTTCAATGCTATCTTTAAATATTAATTTTTTACTGAAAAATAACAAGGCTCGGGCGGGGTTGAACCCGCAACCTTTGGATTACCGGTCCACAATTGAAAATTGTAAATTGCTCGATAGTGGAATCGTATTATTCTAGATTTTTAAAAATAAAAAGTTATTATTTAAATGTTAACAAAAAAATTACAATATTTATTTTACATTAAGGCATAATAAGTATAAGGCATAGCAAGTCCACAGCTCAATTGTCGAGTAGAAAAAATATTATTAACTTTTTAACAAATAATTTCAATATATATTTTACATTAAGGCATAATAAGTATAAACTACAGTTTTCCGTTTTAATCAAGTGATTCCTACATTATTACCTGTCGAGTATGCAATCGATGA